GCTTATCTATTCAGCTTTTAGAATAGATGACGTATAAACTTAATAAAAAAAAATTGTGCATTTCAAAAAAGAGTGCATGATATCTATATTGTGGCAGCCAATGCTTTAGATAGATGATCAACATTGATCATTATGCTGATACTATGATAGATATTGGGGATTCTTTTTATTGAAATTGAACCAGAATATTCGCCAAGCCACAAAAGAAGTAAACTTTTATTTATCTTTTCTACTGTACAATTATTTTGTTGAAGGTGGGCTTTTAATCCAAACGAAACAGTATTTTTTGTATAGGCCTAGATTCAGGGTCCAGTTATTAGATTGCTTATAAAAAGGCATAAGTATAAACAAACCTTTTTCAAGAATAGTATTACATTACTATGATTTGTTTATACAGCACAAATGATTTGAAAATGAGATCTGAAATGATCTAATTTTCCTTCTCACAAAAAGCATTGCTGAAAATGACCGGAATCGGATCGCAGCCGTAAAGCAAACGGTCGAAACCCGAAATTCGTTATATGCACTACAATTCACACTCTATTTATAATCCACCAAAGCAGAAGATAAACCACAGTATGAGAATGTATCTGTGGGTGGCATATTGCCAATTCCTCCTCGCACTCAGCTGTGAGTGTGCGGTAATGTAATGAAGCTGGCGCGGAGGGATACAGCGTAAACGAGGCCAGAGCGCAGCGGCGGCGCATTACTACACCTCAGACTATTGCTCTCTCACTCTCTCTCTAACACACACACACACACACACACAACACACACACAGAGGAACAGATCCTGCGTTTACGTCAACGTTTAAAACACAAACAGCTTTCTGCTGCTGATTTTACACACATTTATCGGACGGGACTTTTTAAGGATGGTGAGTACAGCCTGATGTTTATGTTGTTTTTTTTGTATAAACTTAATAAAAAAAAATTGTGCATTTCAAAAAAGAGTGCATGATATCTATATTGTGGCAGCCAATGCTTTAGATAGATGATCAACATTGATCATTATGCTGATACTATGATAGATATTGGGGATTCTTTTTATTGAAATTGAACCAGAATATTCGCCAAGCCACAAAAGAAGTAAACTTTTATTTATCTTTTCTACTGTACAATTATTTTGTTGAAGGTGGGCTTTTAATCCAAACGAAACAGTATTTTTTGTATAGGCCTAGATTCAGGGTCCAGTTATTAGATTGCTTATAAAAAGGCATAAGTATAAACAAACCTTTTTCAAGAATAGTATTACATTACTATGATTTGTTTATACAGCACAAATGATTTGAAAATGAGATCTGAAATGATCTAATTTTCCTTCTCACAAAAAGCATTGCTGAAAATGACCGGAATCGGATCGCAGCCGTAAAGCAAACGGTCGAAACCCGAAATTCGTTATATGCACTACAATTCACACTCTATTTATAATCCACCAAAGCAGAAGATAAACCACAGTATGAGAATGTATCTGTGGGTGGCATATTGCCAATTCCTCCTCGCACTCAGCTGTGAGTGTGCGGTAATGTAATGAAGCTGGCGCGGAGGGATACAGCGTAAACGAGGCCAGAGCGCAGCGGCGGCGCATTACTACACCTCAGTCTATGGCTCTCTCACTCTCTCTCTAACACACACACACACACACACAGAGGAACAGATCCTGCGTTTACGTCAACGTTTAAAACACAAACAGCTTTCTGCTGCTGATTTTACACACATTTATCGGACGGGACTTTTTAAGGATGGTGAGTACAGCCTGATGTTTATGTTGTTTTTTTTCTTAGCTAATGGTTTAGCCATTTTAGCATCCTGCCGGACAGTTTGACAGCTAATAATGATTGTACCAATTATTTAAGCTTTCTCTTTACCGTTTGTGATGTCGAACGCATAAAGATTGCGTAAGGTTTAGTAAAAGTGAAAATGCGTAGCTACACATCGATGTTTTATTTAAACAAACTGCTAATTATCCAGTTAGCGCTATCCAGCAGATGCACGTGTGTTACGTATATTAAAGGAAAATAATGTACGATTCGATATGAATTAATCTAAGAGAGATTTTAGAAATGGATAAATTAGGCTAGTTACGTTGCAGTTTAACGCGCTCCCGCTATTGCTCTCGCGCCAGCTCAAGTCTGACAATCACACGCGCGCCAGTTTCTGGATTAGGTTTCTTGAATATTCTTTAATGCAAACTAGCCGTTTTTGGTCACAGTAGACCCTAGTGGTTGCAAATGCATGCTTTGCATTGCATTGCAAATATGCATGATGTAAATTCACAGCAATGACCGTTTTTGAATGCCTCTCGGATGCATATTTCTATTGCAAGTAAAGTATGCAACGCATCATGCGTGTTGCCTTCACGCAGGTTTTCTGCTTATCTCGGTGTGTGAACAGTGACTGGCTGCTAATTTTACATGGGCTGAGCTCATTGCCTTTAACAGAAGGATAAGTGTGGGCGTGGTGGTGTAAAAATAACCATCAGCAAAGCATATGCGCTCAAGTTCCTCATTTCTGGAAGAATCTGTCGCTTAGCTTGCTTTGCCTCCATGCATTTGCTTTGCATGCACGTTCACAAAGTTTGCAAACGTCCTGCGGATATGAGACTGTCTCTCTGTTGCATTTGCATGGGCCAAAGTTGCAACATGTAGGGAAGCTGTTGCGCACCGGTTGTTTAAAAAAAATGCGATTCAACATCACGCAGCCCCAAGATGATCATATAGCTGTATAAGGCATAAATATGAATGGAGTGGACAGTGAGGTTGCATATTGCAGCATGCTGAACTGCAGTGACGGATCCCGCTTGTCCCCCCTCCCCCTCCCCATTTCCCCCTGCATTGAACCAAATCATAGCTGGTGCAGCAACACGCTGACACTGGATCTGCAGTGCAGACGCCCGCACTCGCTCATCAAATTGGACTGCAACTCGGAGAGGACAAACATATGTCCGCTAATGCTCCACACTTAATCCACACTAATTGCTGCAGTCATTGAAATGCGGTAATGGGCTTAAGAAGCAGCATGCAGAATATGTTAGCCGGAAGCAACGGAGACGGCAGCCCACCTGCATCCAAACCAGGCATTTAACCATCCGTGTGCAGCTGGTCCTGGAGGGCATGTGTGCACCACAGTCTGAATGGAGGGCCGCCATTGCATTGCACTGCTAGCCTAAAGTTCGAGTAATAGATTTCTTCTGTTTCTAGGAGTAGCATTGTTTGTGATCCTCAAGAGTCACTCAAGATTCTTTTTCAGTAAGATTAAGCGATAGAGATAACAAAAGTCACATTTATGCAAATGAGCAGTGATATGATCAAGAAAAGTGTCGTTTTTTTTTTTTTTCCGATTCAATGTAATAAAATGTCAATTGGTATAGCCGAACAACGTTATTTTAACATTTTCTTTAAACTTTGAATGCGAGTCTACACAAAATGTTCAAAAAGTAAAAAAATATGCTACCATTCAAAAGTTTGGGATTTGAGAATATTTGAGAAATATAATAAATGCTGTTCTTTAGAAAAGCAAAGAGTCCTGGGAAAGAAAATAAATCATGGTTTCCACAAAAATAGTATGCAGCACAACTGTTTTCAACACTGATGATAAGAAATGTTTCTAGAGCAGTAAATCGGCATATTAGAATGATTTCTAAAGGATCATGTGACACTGAAGACTGGAGTAATGATGTTGAAAATTCAGCTTTGCGTCACAGGAATAAATGACATTTTAACATATTCAAAAAGAAAACGGTTATTTTAAATTTTGCAAAAAAAAAGTGTATTGTATTTTTGATCAAATAAATGATTAGGGATGCACGATATATCGGCCACCATATCGGTATCGGCCGATAAATGCTCATTTTTTCTGTTATCGGTATCGGCCTGATAAGAAAATTTGGCCGATATCTTAAAGCCGATAAATAATGCATTATGCAATTATGTTCGTTTGCAGCCTTTTGTGCAATTGTACATTGTAATATTGTGTTTATTTGATGTATATCTGATTTATCTCATATAGAATGCGTTTGGTTAAGTTAAAAGAGCGCTTCAGTTTACCGGTGATCATCTTTAGCTCAGCACACGCAGCCCAAACAGCAGTGCACAACATTAATAACTATGATTGGGAATGTCGTGTATATAAAATTCTAATGAGAACATTATTATAATAAAACATTGTGCATTCTTTGGGTTTAGTTGCCGTGTTTCAGCGCGTTGATATGGGAAGAGCACATCCACAACAGGATCACACATTCTGACTATAGCACGCAATAACTGCATAATTTTGTACATATATAAGTTGTAATATTATGTTTATGTTGTATTAATATTAATCTCAGGATGCATTTCCTTGAGTTAAATAAGCTGCCAGCAAAACGCTTCAGTTTACCATGTTCATTCAGCTCTTCAGCTTCAGCACGCGCAGCTCAACGGCTGCTATTTAAAACAGTGGTATTAATTTGTTACTTTTTCAAAATCATTGATATATTATTAATAACAACAACCACTTGTATTGTTCTCTTATTATTTTCATCAACAATATGGTTTAGTAATTAAAATCATTTAATTATTGTCCGTGCAGAGGCTATTCCGTTTTATTGATCTATGGCGCATTCATTTTGATTCTTTACACGTGTAATGATGTCCAGTGACTTGTTTGCATTATTTATGCATTATTTTATTTATTTGTAAGACTTTTTTATGACTAAATTTGGTAATGGGAGAGTAAAAATATTTTTAAAACGTACACCGTTCAAACTAGGCTGCTTATGTTGAAGTGTTTGGGATGTGGCTTTTAATGATGAGACCTTTTTTGTAATCAGGCTCTCAAAAAGTATATAACAATTTGGATATAGATTTATCGGCCAACATATCGGTTATCGGCTTTCAAAAATAAAGAATAATCGGTTATCGGTATCAGTCAAAATTTTCATATCGGTGCATCCCTATAAATGATGCCTTGTTGAGCATAAGAGACTTCTTTCAAAACATAAAATCTTACTGACCCCAAACCATTGAATGGCAGTGATTTTTTTTTTTTTTTTTTTTTTCAAGGTTTAAATTGTTTAATTCAGCAATTATCAGTAAATATGAATTCATAAATTGGTCTATAATTTGTATAAGTCTGACATGTAGTTGTTTTCAAAATCGCCTCTATACCCTCATTTGCTATTTCCATTAGTTCACAAATATAATGAATGAAAATGAGTAAGCAAATTTGGACACTGAGTGTACCAGAAGGGCTGCCAATTTTACATTGTGCTTTTTGTGCCACCTCCAGTAGTAATAAAGATTTATCTTGAATTCTGTCATGGAAACTAGCATGAATAAACCTCCATTAAACGATTTAATAATCAATTAAAAATAAATTTATACCTGTATGATTTTGCGCTATATACCCAAATTGGACAAACGTTTTGGAAACTAGATGGATTGATGATTCCGCTGCAGTCGCCATCTTCTGGCCAAGCGCAGGAATTCATTCGGCACGAGCCTCACACTGCATTATAGGTATATGGGGTGATTTCAGACACAGCCCATGACCTTAATCTTGTCTTGTTTTATAAGGCCAAATTATCTGATATTTTAAGATACACATTGACTTTGACACACAGTCACGAGGGTCTGCAGGGGCCTTCTCTATAATATAATTGTTTTTTTCTGCATGTTGTTTGAACCATGACTTTGTTGGTCGCACCACATGACTTTTATTTTAGACAAAAGTTTTTAATATTTTAATATGCAATAGAAACTGTCAAGCTGTATTGATTGTTTAAAAATGTTTCATTAAGAAATAATAATAAAAGCTCGTTTTTCTTTGCAAGAATTAAATTTGATTTAAAAAGGCTTTTTTTGTTGATACAGCTGTCCAGATATTGTAATCATGCCATTTTTCCTGTCCCCCCCCCTAAATATAACAATGATTTTTAATAATTAAAAATATGCTCATCATAGAAGAGCTATGCAAGTAATTATTATTTGCATTGATTGACCCATGTTGTAAAATAAGCAGATTTTACAGTAAAAAATGTATTATGCGCAGGTGTGTATCTTGTGCTTTGCTGTGCCCTCCTGTTATTGAGGTAACCGTTTATATCAGTCGTTTTCTCATCTCACAAATGGCGAGCCAAATGTGTTAAAGCTAAAGTCATTGCCTCGTATGTGGATGAGTCAGATCCATGTCCGCTGTTTCCTCATGGATCATTTTACACCCTGTCCATTTTAAGCTCCAAGCTTTATGAATCACCCGCCTTTGAATACAAGGGAGCGTGTTCTGCTGCCTCCTCTCAGAAAAGACACCGCTGAATCATGCAGAGTGAATCACGTGTACAGATGAATCCTCTCCTCTTTAATAATTGAATAATGAACTCCGTGTCAGAGAGAAGCGCAATCATTTTAAGTGTGTCGCATTCATGACCCCCTAAGTGGCACTGTCTAATTATAACTGCCGTGGATATTTTTGAAGGAGTATTTTTATGCATGTCCTTCATTATACTAATTTAGTCAGAGGTGTGTGTGTGTGTGTGTGAGCACTGCAAAACTGGAGCTTTTCTGATGGTGATGTGGCACTGAGCTGATTGACTTCCTCTTTCTCTCTCTCTCTCTCTTTTCCAATACAGGCAGATCAGTTGACCGAGGAACAGATCGCTGGTGAGTGAACTCTGACAGTCAGCTTCAAAAAGGCCTCTAAAGCTGTCTTACACACTACATCATCAGTGCACACACATACACGCACCATATTGCAACCTCAAGAACATGTTAAGGCTCAAAGCAACCTCATTAAATATGGGCTGACAGACCCATTCCCTGCCCCTCATATTTCTTGAGATTCACTGTCAAGTAACATTGGCTGAAAAATTGTCTAGTACCATGGTTCTCGTCCAAAGGATCAGGACCCTCTAGGGGGTCTTAGCGCACTTGACTTAAAATGTGACTTAAAATGATTTTTTAAAAAAACAAAGCGGATTTTGAAAAGATATAAACTGAAATTCTATTTATTCTTTTGATTTTCTTTCCCTTAGCAAGTGTAATTTGTATTTTAATTCTGGATATATGAGAGAATTTTAAAAGTGTGATAATATCTTGGCCTAAAT